TTAAATAATAGTTGCTTCTTTTTCTATCTTAATTTATGTGACACTCATAGAATTCAAGCGTCAACCAATTCTTTTATATGTCTTCTAAGTTTTTAAGCTGTTAATTATTGTGATTTAAGTACTTCTTATTCCATTTTAAAAATAATTTATGGTATTTTCTCTATTTCAATTTATGTGACACTGATAAAATTTCAAAGGTGAGCCAAAGTTTTTTTGTATGCATTTTAAATATTTTAAATTATTAATTATTATTAATTTTTACGTAATTTTATCGTAATCTAATCCCCAAAGGGCAAGCTGGCAGGACAATCCCCATGTGCTTCCAGGTGGCTTCTATATTAAAATTTTTTAAAAAAATATTAAAAATATATATAGGGATGAATAAATTTGCCTTTGATTTCACTCTGAGATCACTAATAATTTTTTATTTTTTTATGTCAAGAGGAAAATAACAAGAATTCACTCTAATTGGATCGGAATCAAATAAGGTCAAATGAGTTTATTCAATTTGATGGAAAATTATATTATTTGTAAATAATTGATAATTCTTATACGTATGTATTAGATGTCGAAACTTCTTCATTAAAATGAATTATTTTAGTCCCTAAAGCTAACATGTGTTAAAAAGTTCTGATTAAAAACACGGAGTATTTAGAGTCTGTTTGGCTCAGCTTAAAAGCTGGTCAAACTGACTTAAAAGCTGGTTTTTGACTTATTTAGTTGTTTGGCAATACTCAAAATAACTTATTTTAAGTTAAAAAAAATTATTTTAAGCCAAAAGTTAAAAGCTGGGATATGGGTGCTTTTTTTTCTTATAGCTTATAATTTGTTTTAAGTTGACCATATTTTTACCTTCTTACCCTTAATATTTTTATACAATTTTCAAATTACCCGCATAACCCTAACATCTCTTTCTTCCATTTTTCCCTTTTCACGTTTGGCATAGCTGCTGAACTTCTTCATCTTCTTCCAATTTGAAGTGATACAAAAATTTATATTCCTCTTATAAATAATTTGTGATAATAAAGAAATATGTGAATGATAGACAATTATTATTACCTATGGATGAAACTAAAATAAATCTTAAATCGTTCTTTGATCTATTCAAATTATGTACCTTTAAAATCTATAATAAGTTTATATTCCTCTTATAAATAATTTGTGATGAGAAAGAAATATGTGAATGACAGCAAAATATAATTATTTTTCGTTGTAAAATATAAATTAATTAACTTTTATTATGTTAACAGCTTTTAAGGGTATTTCAGACATTTTGATTTAAAAAGCTGTTTATCAGCACTTATTTGCCAAACACATCAACAACTTTTTTTTTTTAACTTCAGCACTTTTATCCAAACGCATAACTGTTTATTTTAAAAATAAGTTTCAACACTTTCAAAAGTACTTTTTTAAAGTTATTTTTATTAAGTCCAACCAAACGGGTCCTTAATAGATTATACAAAAGAAGAGTTATAAGTAAAAAATGTGATATCATATTGTGATTTGTTGAATAAATGTGGGTGTAAATTGATTATTTTAATCTTTGAGGGTGAAGTATGAGCTAATAAGGAAAGCATAATTAATTATGAGGCAGATAACAAATTTTATTTTTTAGGGTGAAAGTATAAATTAATGATAAATATAAAGTCAATTGTAAATCATATATTTGACATACTTTCAATAATTGAGCGTGAAATATGAAACAATAATAAACACGAAGTAATATATTATTGCAATGAAGATGTAAGATAACCTAATAGCAAAAAATAGGGTGAAAATATGTACATTAAAGCCTCACCATTCACAAATAAAATGATTAACTAGTAGATTAGATATTCACTTTTAAAAGAAGATAACAATTAAATTTTATTTGAAGTAAAATATATCCGAGAATAAATATAAATATGCTCCTTTAGATAATAATCCTCAACTTTATTAGCTAACTAAATAAATCGTTTTAGTTAATTGAAGGTTAAATATACTAAAACGTATAATACAAGGATTAATATAAATTATTTTTTTTAATCATATGATCCTAAATGAGAGTTATGCTGCGACAATTTAGAAGTTGCCTTTTGCAAAACATTTTACCTTATGTTTTTTTTTAAAAAAAAAAACAAACCTTATGAGGAACAATATTTAGTAATAGTATTATTTTATTAATAACACGTTCTTTCATGTGCTAGCTTAGTTTTCTCCGTTTATTGTAAGGTGAGTGAAGAACTTTTAATTAATTTAGTGGCCGTTAGGATATAAGAATTGTAAATTTCTGGAAAAATAAATAAATTTAGTTTTAAATTAAAAATGATATATAAAAATTAGAATTATTTTTTGACATGAATACGAATTGAATTTTTTATTTTAAATTTCATGAGCCATATAAAGCAAAATTATGAAAAATATTCACGATCAAATATTGAGCACTTAATAGTCTTGATTATTCAAAATAATATACTAATTACCCTAGTGGTGTTTAAATTATTATTCAAAATAATATACTAATTACCCTAGTGGTGTTTAAATTATTATGATTGCAACTTGATTTTTTTAAAAAAAAATCCTGTTGCAAATTAAATTATTATGATTTCAACTTGACTTTTTTTTAAAAAAATCCTGTTGCAAATTGAAGTTCTTTTAATTTTAAATAACTTTTGGATATCTTGATTCTTAAATCAAACAACTCCTGATGGTCTGGCAAAACAGATGTACTCTATATATAATTTGATTAACTTTTTAAATTAATTATAAATTGGATTAAATTTATTAAAATGCTGAATTTAAACTTATGTATTCAAAGAACTTTAGGAGCAATTCATATAAGATACAATATTTTTCATGATTAATATGACTAAAAAATCTTAAAGTATTTGATCAAGATTTATATAGTTTAACTCTCGAATAGGAAAGATGTGACAAGTAATTTCACTTTCATTTTTACGAATAAGAATTAATTATCTTGTGAAATTATAATCTTAAATTGTCCATATAACTTGGCAATGCTTTTTTTTTTATTAATATGACCTCAAACATTCAATGAACAATATTTTTTTGGTAGATATTTAGATATGTAATTTTATCTCATAACTTAAAAGATAAAATCCTTTTTTAGATAGAAAATGAAATGATTAAAAAAAATATATATATTAATTTGAAAATTTCATATTATAATTTTAAAATTTTCAAATATAAAATTGATTCATAGATTTATATTTTGTAAAGAAATCTCACCATTTATATCTACATAATAATTATTTTTTTGCGAGAGTACTAGAAGATTAATAAAATATTCATAGAATATGAACACGGTGATACAATTACTAAATGATATTGACCATGTTAAATTTAATGACTCATTTTCAATTTTACTTTTATTGACCTAAATTTCAATCAATAAATATTTTTTTTAAGAATATCATTATGACAGTGTATTATACTTTAGTTATGAACTTTTGCTTATTTTGTAAGATCGTTATGAAATTAAAATAATTTTAATAATTTTCACAATTTATTATATTTTATATTTATGAACAAATAATACAACTTAAAAATTCAAACGACGTATCTTCTATTTTATTTCATATGATTTAATATCAAGATTTTATCTTACATAGCCAAATGTATATTAGCAGCCACACATAGTCATACTTCTTACGAATAATGTTGTTTGTCCGAATATTTTTTTAATTGTTATAGTTAGCCATATGCAAAAATGGATTTAATTGATAATTTGAATAAAAAATCGAATTAATTTTTTTAATTGATTTATTGGCATCTAGAGTAACCTTTTTGAACGATTTTGTAATCATTTTTATTAGATTAACAGGTCACTTTCTCATTTTAATTTTTTTTGTCAAATCAATAACTCAATAAAATTGATTTATTTTATCCCTAATTAATTATTTATTAAATAGTGACTTTAAATTTTGAATACAAATCCAATTTTCTAAATTTTTAATTTTTCTCCAAGTTTGCTACTTAATCATAAATTTAACATATTTCTTTCTTAAAATGACTTGATGGATGTGTTCATTTATAATGTTCTTTTGTTTGAGAATTGAGTGTCATTATTGTTTCTCAATAATCAAGACTTAAGATATAAAGCTATAAATGATTTTTGAGTATTATTAGAAACAAATGTTGAGACCTTAAGAATTAGAAAGCAAATAATCATAAGTCGATATCGATTTTATTAGTTTAATGGGAAAATGCACAAGTACTTCTCAATTTATGCCCGAAATTTCAGAGATATACTTATACTATACTAAGGTCCTATTACCCCCCTGAGCTTATTTTATACGTAATTTTCTACCCTTTTTCGGTCTACCTGGCACTAGCTTGAAAAAAAAGTCAACCAGCATTGGACCCACAAGATAGTGTCACGTAGGCCGAAAATTGATAGAAAATTATTAATAAAATAAGCTTAGAGGGTAATAGGACTTTAGTATAATATAAGTGTGTCTCTGAGATTTCGGACATAGATTGAGAGGGTACTTATGCATTATCCCTAGTTTAATTATCGATTTAGTTTGTTTACGAATTGAAAACTGATAAACCTTATCAGTAATATACAAAATTGGACTGAACCAATTGACAAACACTTTAAATTATATCAAGATGTTATTAAAAAATATTATATAGCACAATATAGAACTTAAAAGTGTTCCCAAAGAACTTAGCAGTTATATTAAAATATTGTTATAGAGAACGTATGATTATAATAAAGTTTGATATATAACCATTCCCTAGTATCGTATAAAATAATTTACGATTTGTGTATATCATTTCCACATTTTTGATTTGTTGTCAATTACAACATGGTTAAGATACCTTTTCTGTGTTTATTATTTTTCTAATATGTTTATCTAGCAAGTCAATGATCCAAGAAGCAACCAAGTAATATTATTGCAGAATTTATTAATTCCTTATGTTAGCATGGTCACTATCTTGAATTTGCCTATATAAACCTCATATTGACACCCAAACTTGAACACAAACCACTTTAAATTTGTGAAAAGTCGATTAAAATAAGAAACACTCTCTACTAAGAGTTTTTTTCATTATTCTTACCGTTCAAATCTGAGCTACCTAAAATGGAAGAGAAAAGCAAGATTTTAATAATTGGAGGGACTGGTTACATAGGAAAATATATTGTGAAGGAAAGTGTAAAATGTGGGCATTCAACTTTCATTTTGGTTAGAAAAAACACACTTGCAAATCCAGAGAAATCAAAATTCATAGACACATTCAAGAGTATTGGTGTTACACTAATTTATGTGTGTACTCACAATTCTATTTTTTTATATAAGAAATTTAACTTATAGATATCGATAATATAATATAAAATACTATGCAAAACATACTATAGTTGATAATATGTTTTATTTTGTAAATTCTAATAACCTCGTTACATTTCTCGCAAAAAAAATTTTGGATAGTCAAGTTGAGAAGGTAACATCTCCTTTCCTATTCTTTTTATTTTTTGGTTTAAAAAGAACGGATCATAATTTTGTAACAGATAATTTGTCTTATTTTCTCAATTGCTAACATGATTTTGGTGATTTCAATAGCGTAAAAATTCTTTTAAATTATGAGTGTGACATTACCATCATTTTAATTAATAGTGTTATATTTCATTTTCCTTAAATAATTAGGGAGATTTATCCAATCAAGAAAGCTTGATTAAGGCAATTAAGCAAGTTGATGTGGTGATTTCCACTGTTGGTGGAGGGCAATTTGCTGATCAAGAGAACATAATCAATGCAATTAAAGAAGCTGGAAATATCAAGGTAATTAAGGAAATTAAATTACTATATATTTAGGGTGTGCATGTTTTATATTCGTGAAAATATTTTTATATTATTTTTAGAAAATGACTTCCTAATGGGAGGAGAACATGGTACATAAATAGTATTCACCAAACGGTATAATCAGAATTTTCATTTAGTAATTTTTCAAATATAAAGAAGTAAAAATGCGTAGAAGTCAAAGGGTATGTCATTACTCAATATGTTACATACATACATAAAAAATACATATTTTTACTTAGCTAAACAATATAATTTTTCAACAAACGAAGAGGTATTGGTCCTCAAGTATACGTGGCTCCACCGCGTTGTTGATTATCTCCTTCCAACCCTAACACCCCACCCCATCCGCATTCTAACCCACAGAATTCCATTGTCATCCCGCCTCATATTATTTGATTAGATTATGGATGAGGAATATATATTTTGCTTACTTATCAATCAAACATGAAAAATAAATTAAAAAAATTACTTACTTTTTTACGAATACATTTTCATTAATTCATACCAAACATATCGTTAATTATTCAACTCGAACTATGTTTACATTTACAAAAAATATATATATACATTCAAAAAGATAATATTCATATTAAACTTACTGACTCTAGATTTTGAATTCGTATCAGAGATTTTTTCCTTCAGAATTTGGATTCGATGTGGATCATGTTGATGCAGTTGAGCCAGCAGCATCACATTTTGCTCTCAAGGCCAAAATCAGGAATATGATAAAGTCACAAGGAACGATTCCATACACATTTGTGATCTCCAATTGGTTTGGTGACTTCTTTTTGCCTAATTTTGGTGACTTACAAGCCAAAACTCCTCCTAGGGACAAAGTGGTCATTTTTGGTGATGGAAACACCAAAGGTATAATATGAGTCATTTGCAAAAAGTAAATATGTTATGTATCGATAAAATCAGTTCATAAAATTATGATCAATCTAATTTATGTAGATTTGGGTGGGTTGATGATCCTCTAATTAATTTATGAGGAAATTTCAAAAGTTACTACTAGAGTAATATTTTAAGCATGATTATAAATTTGTAGTTATAGTTTGAATATTTATAATTCGTAACAACAATTTTATATAAGAAGCGAAATTTGGGAGGTATTCAATGAAATACAACGAAAACAGTTTGATAGAGAGGAGTGAGGATCGAAGAATAAGATTGGAGAGATGGGATAAAGACGAGCGATTTTTGAGAGAGAGAGAGAGGAGAGATGTTAGAGAGAGGGCGACTAGATGCGATACGAGATGTATTTGATGAAAATAGGTTATATCAATGAATATAACCCAATATATACAAGTTCATATAGGTTGTATTCGATACATACATACATACATATATATATATATATACATACATATATATATATATATATATGAGCCGAGAGGAGAGATACTATAAAAAGGACATATACATGCGGATATAGGTTGTATTTAACGAAATACAAGTTATATCAATGAATACAACATGCCATATAATTTGATACATGCATCATATTGTATCACTTCTTCTACTCATTTATTGTTGTATTACTTGTATTGATTCGCAATATCCAACAACATCAACTCTTTGATATACATGCTAAACTTTTGAAATTAATATTGAGTAATAATCTTGTGTAAAATTTAATTCATGTCATGACTCATGTATTTCATTTTATTTCACAATTGTAAGCAATATATGTGAAGGAAGAAGACATAGCCACATACACTATCAAAGCAGTAGATGATCCAAGAACTTTGAATACAACTCTTCACATAAGACCTCCTGCCAATATTTTGTCCTTCAATGAGATAGTGTCCTTGTGGGAAGAAAAGATTGGCAAGACACTTGACAAGGTTTATCTTCCAGAGGAAAAGATTATCAACATCATACAAGGTAAAGTATCGTATCCTGTTTTAATTTGTATGACATAATTTGTTATACTCTGTATCAAACAAAAATCAGACAAATAAGTTGAGACAATTAAAAAGGTGTTTTTTTTTACTCCTTTAAGAAGCTCTTACCCTTTTAGCTGTGATCTCTTGGTGACTCAAACTCACAACATTAGGATCGATGGTAAATTATGCTTACCATCGGATCAATTTTCTCTTGTCCGTAGAATGCAACAATAACATATCTGATACAATCCCAAAAAGAACAAATTAATAGGAAATTCAAAAAAAAAGGTTAATACATAGTCAATCTCTTTTATTTGTCTACAAATTTCATTTGACTACTTGAGCTATGATTTGTTTCGTCAATGAACACATAAACACGTGATAAATTAAGTGCTCATTGAACATTTTCAAATTTTAATTATTATTTTTTACGCGTGTTCTTAAGTGTTTATTGTGTAGATAAATTAACCGCTTAATATATGTCATTTCTCCTTTTATCTAATTATACATGCATGTTGGCCTCAATAAGTCATAAGATTTCAGATTTATTCTAATCGAGGTTGATATGTATAATTTAAAATAATAACTATATTATATAATTAGCTTAATTATCTAATAAAAATTAAAAAGAAGTCCAAATTATAATTAAATTGATTAAAAATTGTCTAATCGGAACACTTTCTTAAAATAATTTTACACGGTACAAACTAATGGCTTTGATATTTCTTTCACTTTTTAAAACAACACTTCAAATGGTAACAACCATTCCAAGCAAAATTAATTAATTGATGTTCGATTAAATTCATATTCAGATTATTAAATTCCGCTACTTTTAATTTATTCTTTTTAAACTTGTTTTGCAGAGGGGCCTGATCTTCCATCAAGTGTCAATTTGGCCATATGCCATTCAATATTTGTTAAAGGAGATTCTACAAACTTTGAAGTTGATCCTTCTATAGGAGTTGAAGCCACAGAGCTTTACCCAGAAGTCAAATACACTACTGTCAATGACTACTATAATAAATTTGTCTAGATTGTGTATATCAAAATGATTAAGTTGTTAAGTCGTCGATCTATCAAAAATAGCTACTTTTATGATTTTATTATATTAAGTATGTCAATTGTTGTGTAATTTGGATTATATTGTAGGATATTTTCTTTGTTATGTATCTAATGACTATTTTATCTAAGGCTGAATATATAGCCAACTCATTAAACTTTCAACATATTAAATTACTTAAATACACACTTTTATTTTTTATAATGTTCATTATTCCCTACTATTTTAAAATATCTCCAAAATCCCTTCTTTTCCTTTCAAATCTCATTGTTCTAGATACATTAAGTTTCACATTCAAGCACACGTTTCTATTCCTAATTTCACTCCCTTAATTCCTCCCTATTTCACTTCCTTTAACCTCTTCCTATTTTCACTCCCTCAATCTTTACTTCTTTTATTTTTTAATTTTCAGATTTATTCTCTCTCCATAAGATTTTTCAAGAATCAAGTAAGTTTTCGTTTCACAATTTTTTTCGAAGAACAATCAGATCTCCTCCATTTCCACATTTTTACAAATTATATAAGGAAAAAGTGAAAGAGATGATGTATCCTCATTGCTCCTTGCAACATCATCGTTTCCAGTGACGTCTTTTGTTGATGAAATCATTTTCCATTGTTGACAGTGAGACAAAGATACAGAAGTTGGTATAGAGCAAAGTAAACGTGTAGGGGGATTTCTTGGTCATTTGTTTCTTTTTGCTTTCAACAAATCAATTGTTGATTTATTTTTTTTGTACTTCATCCTTTATAATACATATGATTTCATATTTAATATATCTAGTTGATTTTGTTTCTTAACTAATGCACAATGCCTTCGTTGATTTTCAATGTAACTCGTTGTTTAATCGATGTACTGATACATATATTAGATATGTAGCACATGTTATAATGTTTAGTCAAATGCACTGATACATGTAGTATATATGTATCACATGTTTTTCATGTAGTATGAATTTTCTGAAAACTGATATCATGTATCAGTAAGGTATTAGTTGTTTAGTTGATGTACTGATACATGTTTTGAAAATTGTTATGATGTATCATTCACTAAGTTTAATAACCTGCGTCATCAACTGTGTTTGATGATACATATAGAATCAATGTGTATAGTGTTTTGTCGATGTACTGATACATGTATTAGATATGTACCACATGTTATAATGTTTAGTCAATGCACTGATACATGTAGTAGATATGTATCAACAACGATAGAAAATGAAATTGAATCTCCAACAACGATTCCGTCGATTTTGTAACTTTCATACTGCAATTCGTTCACCCAAATTCCGGAATGTCTCATCAAAATTGAAGTATTCATCTTGAAAATCCACAGTAACAACAATAAAATTACTGTAGTTCGAAATTTAACAGATTGTTCATAAAAAATGTATTCAAACTAGATGATATAATCTTTGATTTTTAAAATTTGAAATTAATATCCAATTACGTGCTGAATTTATGCTGATTAATGATCTGTTACCGTAAAATAAGCTGTTTTAGTAACAACATTAAATTTACAGTTTTTTCTCCATTTTTTCTCAACAGTTTAAACTTATCATGTATCATTTACCATGTATCACTAGAGTCTAAAGTATCACGGCACAACAAATTTAAGGGATTTTTTGTAAATACTAAATTTGTCGGAACAGAGTGTAATTATTGAATTACACTACGGGATTCCTTAAATTTTTACTTTTATTTATGCATACAAAAAATTGTGGTTTGTTTATATTGTATCTGAATGAATGACAAAGTGTTTCAATTATATATTTTTTATTTATATTTTGAATCTTTTTTGGGTATATCGTAAATAGTACATTAGATAGTTAAGTTAATCACGTAAAATATTTCATCTATTTTAGTTATACATATCAATATTAATTAGAAAATGCACGATTTTACGATTAACTGAGACAAATGTATATAAATTATATGAAAGAAGATGACATATTTTCATTAGTTCCTCGCAAAGGTGCAATTGTGTTTTAGGTGGCAGCACCTTATTGTTGACGTTACAATTCTTTTGCACACATGCTTCACACTACTTTGCTATTAGATATCATATATTTCTTTATTATCATTTTGTCTTTTTTTAATTATTTTGATTATCTACGCTTGAATCGAACTCTTTCATAAACAACATTATTACCTCCACATATATATACACTATCTTCTAAAGATTCAATACTCTGAGATTTCACTAGCTATATTGTTGTTATTTTTTTAACAGCTATCACGGTATATTAATGCATAGAAAGGTTTAAAGAGTTGAAGGATGAAATCACATCATTTATAATCCATCTAGGAAAAGTAGAAAGCCAAACAACTTTGCATACTAACAAAATAGAAATTTTTGCTAAATTATGTGCTACCAAATTCCAAGACCTTGGAATATGCATCACATTAACCACTTCATAAGGTTCCAAATATCTTCACAAGTAGTCTCTATCTCCCATGAGACAATAGTTCTTTGTAGTACCATATCCATCATATTTTTTGCGTTTGATAAGATTTGAACCTTTGTTCACCTCTTTTAGCACTCTCCATCACCATACGAATTACAATTGCTTTAGCACTGATGACTTTCCTAACGTATTGAATTGGGGTGCCGAAGGCATGAAGCAGGTTATCATAGCTATCCATAGCCACACCAATACAATCTTCTTTTCCTTATGTACACTATCATCTGCAAACACAACAATACCTTCTTGTGTCATAGTTAAAAATTTTATATCATTACAAGCAGGTATAACTATGGGGGAAATTGAGGGATCAAATTGCTTTCATACTCATGAAGATCAAAAAGAGTTTTGTTAACAATGTCCTTAGGATCAACAATTTCTCCATTGAAACTCTTTGAGTTTCTAGCCTTCCAAATTTGCCACAAAATAGACATTTTTAATTTAATCATCTCAATAGTTACAAGATAATTTTTAATATTTATAAAAAGAACATTCCATCAACCAGTAAAACCCATAATATCTTCTACACTAGGCCAATTAATTGAGAAAATTTTCCAAACTAATTGAGCAGTAGACACCTAAACAACATGTGATCAATCGTTTCATTCTCAAGTCCACAATCCTTACACACTCCACAAATATGCCTCAGTCTCCTAGAAATAATATGGTTGACCGATAACATATTCAAAATGCATTTCCGAATAAAGTGCTTAGACTTGTTTTTAATATTCACAGACCATAAAAACTTCCAAAATTCTTTTGAGAAAGATTGATTTACTAGATTGGTCTCTCTCGTTACTCACTTGTTCACACCTAATCATTTTATCGCTAAGTGATATGTATCCTGGTTTAACCTCATACTTCTCAGACTTGGTATGGTATCAACTAATCTTATTGGAAAAGCCTTTGATTAAAATAGGTATAGAGACTATTGTACACGTGAGTCCTGAATCCAGTTTTGAATTGGATTTGACTTTTGGTTCTCATGTTAATTATGTATGAATTTTGGAATTATATTTTAGGCCTTTTAACTTTGCTTTAAAAATCATATATTAGATCAAAAGAGAAAAAATATATTATTAAGCAAGCTATTTTTAATATGAAAAGTATAATATTTACCCTTTATATTTTTTGACAAAAAATTACACAGGAAATATACACTATAATTATGACGTTTGTTATAAAATCAAGCTCATAAAAATATAATCATAAAGACAAGAAGGCAAGAGAAGTAGATAGAAGAAGAGGAATTTTTCTTCTTATTTAAGTGTGTCTAAGTATCATTTGTACATCTTACAATAGTGAATGAACAACCCTATTTATAGATTGAGAAATCACTCAAAAAGTCATCATATTAAATATCATAATAAATAGATACATTATTATCCAAAAAGGTTCATTTCATTGTGCCTTCACATGCAAACAAATAGCGTGTTTGAGATCAAGCTTTATGCAGATTAGATAAATATTATGCATCTGCTTTAACCAATCAATTCTGCTTTGGATTCATCAGAGTATAATAAATCCATAACTATGGTCCTTCGAGGATATTCAAGTATGCTCAACACCATTTCAATGTCCTTTTGTTGGGAAAGAACTGCTAAAATTGAGTCTATTCCTTCTTTCAAAAAAGTTTTAGTGATTTGGGGACGAATGTTCCTAAGGGGTGGGGGGTGGGGGGATAATGTAACACTTTGAAAATTCAAGACGAGTCTTCGATCCTAACATAGGTGCCATGGGGTCTAAGCACTGTTTTAAGACCTATTTTAATGAATATAGGTCATTTAGGAAGTTTAAGAACCAAAATATCCAAGAACGTCCATGACGTTCATAAACTAGTCTAATGGGTACTAGCGTGCCTTTGCCTATTTGACTAGCTTTTAGGAGTAGGATGTTGACACCCAATTTTGACCGACCTTTAATCATTTTTAGGAATGCTATTCGATTAAAATACACATTTTAAAAATTATTTAAAGTTTCGAATTGTAGTCGATATTGCATGAAAATTATATATTTTAGTATGTTTTACTTTATTATTGTAAATATTATTAAAATATTTTAAAATTATTAATGAATTTCAAATGTTTTAAAATTTAAATGATTTTCAATTATATAAATATATTTTAATATATGTAGTATTTTTATTAAATAGTAATTTCTACACTTTTCTTAAAATTATTTAAATTTTAGCCTATTTTATTATAATTTCTTTCAATTCTAGTCACTCCAATTAAATTTATTTCAATTATAGCCTCTCTATCATTCCAATTCTAGCCAATTTATATTATAATTTTAGCCATTCCATATCCAATCAAATCTGATTTTTAAATATCATTTGTTAATCTCATTCGTCCATTCAAAATAAATAAATTCTATATCGAATTCTAACCGTTCATCTCGTATTAAATCAATGATCCAAACTTAATCTAACCTAAAAAGAGTCTAATCCCTAAAAAATGTCACTCTCTTCTCCCTCCCTCTCCTTGGCAGCATCAGCCGCCTTCTCCTTCCCTTCTATCCTCCGCTTCCTCCCCCTTCTCCCTCTCTCCGCCTCCCTCTTCTTCTTTCTCTCCTCTCTTTGCCTCTTCCCCTCCGCCCCTCTTCTTTTATTTCTTTGCAGGACGACCGGCGACAACAACATTCAGGCGAGGCGACCAGAAGCTCCGACCGGCGAAGCAACATTCCGGCCACAGCAGCCACGC